GGGAGATTTATTGACAAAAATCTATATGGTTTAATATTTGATTTCTTTTCTAAAAAAACAGTACTTTTTAATTAACTAATTATTTTTGTTTTATTTCCATGATATGTTTTAACTTCTTTTACAAAATATTTTTTTTAGTTAGACAATGACATTTGTTGATACATATTTGGAAACATTTTTTGACCCAATATTATTTTACATAATTTTTTATGATATTTTTCGACCAAACATATTTTGAAAATAATTTCAAAAAATTGACCTAATATTTGTGGACTTTTCTTACCATGACATTTGATTCAACATATTTGGACTTTTTGAAAAATATATTATTCAACCTTCTTTTTTACAAAATATTCTCCAACCTAATAATCATGGACTTTAGTTTTTACCTCCAGATGCTGCCAAAGTCAACCCGCTGCACCTTTAACCTCCTTCTCTGTCCCAAAGACCCTCTTTGCCAATAGCATGACTTTCATTTTATTGTCTTCAAGGTACGTGTCACCACTAACAACATCGTATGCAGGAACACACCGCACGCTCCGCAGCATCGGAGGAGGCGCTCTGAGCCTGGACGCCATTCGATCCTGGCTCTGCTCCAAATGGTTACGGTCGGTTTCTAATAAACACATTACCGCTTATTTAAAAAAAAAAAACACACACACACACACACACACACTACTTCTCACTGAGTCAAACTCCCCCTGTCGCTGTGCTCTTCAATGAACCGTCGTCACATGCTCAAGTCCGGCGCCATTCTCTATTTGATTCTGTCCGGTGGGGGGAAAAGACAACGCGGCGACCTGAGAGGTCCCGGTCCCTCCGTCCGAAGCATCTGGTAGACATCGTGTTATGAGATGTGATTTCAGTCTTGGACTGAAATAAAAAGTGATATCACCACTGCAAATCGATTGTATTCAGCCTGCGACGAAGAAAAAAAGAAGGAAAACATTAAGAATTATAAAAGCTGATGAAACAATGTTCCGTGTTTTGAGCTGTTAAAGAATGCCTGGCTCCTCCACGACCCCTGTGGAGCGGATATCCCACGAGGAACGGCACATCAGATAACAGTAACCTCATAACGTTCCCCGGATTCGGTGTAAATCATTCCGGATCAGCCGCCAACCGAGGCGTAATGCAGAGTGAGAGCCTCTCTGTGGATTTACAGATATTGGAAGTGCTGGGCGGAGACTTCCCCGCCAACTTAACGTCGTTTTAAATACACACACACAGGCCTGACAGTGGTGGGGGGGCGGTGGGGGGGGGCTGACTTGAGGACTGCAGAGTGGGAAGGCAGCCAGAAGCTTTGACTCTTGTTGATCGCCCCCCTCCTTCTTTCCTTCCCTCCTTTCCTCCATCTATTTTATTAATTACTCCTTCTTTTACACATTACCTTCAGCCTGGCTTATTGTGGAGGCATTAACCTCTGCAGGTCAGCTAATGTGTGTGTGTGTGTGTGTGAGACGTCTCTTAAGCTTGTTTTCCTTAGATTAGATTAGTTTGTAAATCCTGTTTCATCGACCTCGAGTTAAATGCGTCTTAATTTCAGTAAGTAGCCGAGGAGCCAAGGAGATGGGATGTGCATCTCCAGCCAGAACACATTTAACTAATTTAAGAGGCGAGCTGCACTAGTGTGTGTCACATATGCTCGCACAGTTTACGTAACGTCTCTCTATGTGTGTTTAACCGGCTGGAATAGTTGAGGCTTGCAAAATATTTGACGGCCCTCTGCCAGTTTGTGTCCCTTGCGCTGGCGTGGACACGAATCATTACAATGAATACAAGCGGCGTGCTCGTGTGTCCTGCAGGGTGCGGAAGGACAACCTGACCAGCTGCAACAGCGGGGTGAACATGGAGGACGTGGACTGCGGGGCCGGGGGTTCGTCCTCGCTGAGCCACAACCGCCCGTCCTCCGTCACGTCCAACAGCCTGAGCCTCTACCAGCACAGAGCCCGAGCAACACACAGCCACAGACACCACAGCACGGGTACGCACGCACACACACACACACACACACACACACACACACACACACACACACACACACACAATGTAGATTACCATCCTTGTGGAAAATGTCTATTGACTGTATTGATTCCAGGGTCCACAATTGCACAGTAACCAGAAATCTATTCAAACTGAAATTCAAAAATTGAAGTCTAAACGTCCCGCCAAATAACCCAAATGAGTCTGCGAGTGGGCGGCCAGGTTTGCACTATAATAACAATAAAATATACAGTGAATCTATGGTTTTTATTTAACGATTTGTAGGTTTTCTCATCTTTGTCTGTTAATTGATACTAAAATACTTACAAATACATTACATTACAGGTCATTTAGCAGACGCTTTTATCCAAAGCGACTTACATTACACTTTAAACCCATGGCTTTTTTCACATTTTTGCCTGGGGAGCAATTAGGGGTTAGGTGTCTTGCTCAGGGACACTTCGACATGGAACATGGGGCAGCCTGGAATCGAACCAACAACCTTGTGCTTCCCAGCACACCTTCTCTAACCCCTGCGCCACGACGACCCAAATACTTGAAATTCAAAATGACACCTGCGTTGTCTTTCCAATGAGATCAATTGATTAGCACTGAAATGCACCCGTGCTCAATTTACTTTAAGTACAGGTGGGGTTTTTTAAGGCAGTGAATGAATCTAGTTCTATAACGTTTATCACCTTCATCTCAATCTGGAGAGCAGGCAGCAATGGGAAAGAGTTCAACGAGTTCAACACAGATGACACACCTACAACAGGAAGTCAAAAAACCCAGATGACATGAGGCAGGGATTACAAAATAAAACAAAAACTATGACAACGTTAAATTGAAGTTAAACAGCAATCTGATTTATTGTTGTTTAAGTACATTCTAAGAATATTGGCTCGAAAGACACGATTGATTATACATCATCAAAAACATTTTTTTGGGGGGCGGTTCATGTTTTATATTTTTTATATCCAATTAGTTGCAATTCCGTGTTTGCTTTTTGCAGCCAGGAGAGAGTACCGCAGTCGGTCAGTGCAGCCTCAGAGTCAGCGCCCCCCCGTCAGCAGCCAATCAGGGCCCATCCTGGACTCAGGCTCCAACCACGGGCTCGTCCAGCGCCTGTCCAACAGTCAGCTGTCTTTTAATACATCCATAGCCTCTATATTCTCCCAGGTATTCACACACACACACACACACACACACACACACACACACACACACACATATTCCCAGGCTTCCGTCCTTGCTTCAGCGCGCCCTTTGCCCCGGGAGAATACAGCGACGTCTCTCTGTCCTCAGGTCCCTCGTCTCTCAGGAGCAGGCGGGATCAGCTCGCAGCTCCAGGCGGCGCAGCATCAGCAGCGCTCCAGCCAGGTACGAGCCCGACACACCAGGCGGCGTCCTGCCGCACCGCTTCGATTCTCACACACACGCAAAAAATGTAGACTGAAATCATATATTTAGATATTTGTTTTTTTTAATGGCCGTACTTGCCAAATAGTTGCAATTCCAAGTTACTATACACGTAGTTCCGGTCTGGAACAATAAGTGATTATAATTTAGTGGCGTTATGTTTAGCAGTCAAACCCCTGAGTACATGTGACTCATGAATCGAGTTATTACCACTACTTAAAAAATGCATCTGAGAAACAATTCCACCACTGATGGCCGAAGCATGTGATTGTAGTGTATTAATGACTACAAGTCATTCTTAGAAGCAGCCTGCTTTCCCTGATAACTGTTTTCTGCATGAGCTGGTACTGTGTCTCTCAGCGATTGCCGTGCGCTACTGTCTCTCCCAAGGTCTCCTCGTCCTCGTCCACTCTCAGCTTGCTGTTTGGGAAGCGTAGCTTCTCCAGCGGCCTGGTGATCTCCGGGCTTTCCGCCGCCGAAGGGGGAAACACCACCGACACGCAGTCTTCTTCGAGCGTCAACATCGCCATGGGGCCCTCGCACAGGTCCAGCAGCAGAGCCACACAGGTAGGAGACAAATCCACTGGGAGAGATACAGGGACAAGAAAAATACCTTCAAGTAGCATGAGGCCTGTTGTGCAAAGGGCATCAACCCTTTGAAGTAAAAGTATCCTTTTATCGATCTTCTGAAAACACACAATTAGAATATTTATCTTATGTGGCACTTCATCGCCTCTCTTTGTCCCTTCTCAGTGGACATCAGAGCCATATGAGAGTATAGACGCGTCCTACTCCAACGCTGCCGTCACGCTGAAAGACGGCGTGCAGTCAGGTGACCGAGGCTGCAGCCTGGGATTGGACGAGACACAGGAGGACTCGACATCCGTCTCAACCGCTCCGGAAGCGACTGACCAAAAGACTGTCTGAGATTGAGACAACACACACACACACACACACACAAGAGAGAGCGCCCATACTCGTGCCCACATGCAGAGAGGACTGTATGAAAAGTTAAAGCGTACACACAAACATACAGACAGATTGTATGAGAAAGCACCCATGCACACGAACCTGCCTCTTCTCCTGTCTTCAGCATGTGGTCTCACCTCGTTGTCTGAATGTAAAGTCTAAAAAACATCATCGTGGATCCGGTTGGTGAAATAAAGACGTTTTTAAATGAGGCTCCCTTTTCTTTCTACCTCTGGTCAACTTTATTATTAATGCGCAGGCTTCTTTTTAGGAAACTACTCCATTGCACATTATGGAGTATGGATGGACGACACACTGACGGTTAAATTTAGTATGCTAACATGTCCATAAAACCAACAATTGTTTACTTGAAATAACTGCTGCAAAACTTGCCAAAATGACAAAGCACATGTCAGATTCCATTGACATGCAAAGGCTTAAAAATGGAGGACCAAACCGTCAACAGATCATCACTTTACGACCCGTAGAGTTACACCACTTTTTTGTGCTCAAACCTTTTTATTTGTCGAGTTGCAGGTGTCTCTAAATTAGCACCCTCGCAGTACAGCGTCAACACAGGTAGTACTAATTATATTCCACACTTCCAGTCGAAGAAAGACACAGTCACATTTGGCAAAAATCTATTGAGTATTTATTGTAAATTGTTACATTTAGATTTCTTTCTCTAGCAGCACTATTTAAATTACAGATATTCAAGGGCAGTAACCATAAATTGTGTTTTTCTCTTAATGCAAGATGTCACTGTGTAAACAAAGAGAGAGACTGAACTGTAGATCAAAATGTACCACAACATAACACGCTGTTAATGTGACGGTGACTCATGTGGTGCAAGAGCTTTATGAACAGTTTGTTTTGAGATAGAAAGAAATAAAAAACAATGACTGAAATAAAACTGTTATTAAAATGAATTAAAAAATAAATTAAAACATGTTAGAAATAATAAACAGATTATTTTTGTAACCATTTCCATTGGGTCTGATAAAGTTTACAAAGTCTTCAGGTCTGTTGGTTACATTTCAACAAAGTAGATTATATGTGAATGATTCAGAGAGATGACACAGGAACTTGAAGAAACAAATAAAACGTGTTTCGTAAGGAACATCTTGTGTCTAACAGAACAACAGATTTTATATTCAGACAACTCTCATGACCGCTGGACAAAAATTGGATTAACATTTTGGCACATTTTATCCCCAATAGACACATTGCTGGACTTTCTCGGGCAGTTCCATTTACTAGTGTGGGAATAAAAATCTAACTTGTTTTCACTTTCTTTCCTTTCATCTTGTCTTATCTTACATAGCGTAAATGTTTTTTGGGGATATTTCTTGGGAGGAATTTCCTTGTAGGGAGTTACATGAGAAACCTCAGGCGGGTCCGTGAGAGTAAATATGAAGCTGAAGCCGGCAGGCGGGTAGCTTAGCCAAGCAAAACGAATCCACGAGCCGCTATGAGATGACGCATTACCCCACATTCAACCAGAACAAGTTTATTTTTGTACGCATTAAGCGAAAGAGTTGAATTAGTGAGCTTTAGATTTGGGCAGAGCCGCGTAAGCGGTCTCGGCTAGCTGGTCCTAGATTAGCTACCAAAACCGACTGCTGCTTGTAGCTTCACAGTTAGCACACAAATATGAAAGTTGGAACCTCTCATCATACTCTTGTTAAGCAGTTTTTTAAAATGCTACAAAGCTACTGTAAATTGGTGAAGGACAAAGAAATCCACATTTTCTGGACAAGACTTAAATAAATATGTCTTTAATCTTAATTCTACTGTGCTCACAGCCAACAGTCACACGTGTTTTGTATTATCATGCACAGCCAACATCAATCAATGTTTCTCACAATGTAGCCAACAAATGACTTAATGCTCAGTGATGTTGAAATTCTACCACCTCTGTCATAAATTACAGATAAAACAAGGCTAGATGTGACAAGTGTTGGACTGATAATCCTGGAGAGTAATTTGAAAGCTACAGCTGAGGGAGCTCTGCGTCTCCGATCGGATCCGTTGGCAGCACACTGTCACGTTCTCATCTCAACACCGCTAACCGGAAAGCTTGAGGTCATATTCGAAAAACAGTGAATTATACATTTCACTTGTTGGCCGTTGTACAAGGATATTATTCTACCAGTCTTGATGTGAATTAAACAATTAGGATCTCAGTTGTCATCGATAGTTGTCAAGCAACCAGGGAAGAAAATAGTAAAAAAGTAGAGCTCAACTCACGAGACCTTGGATGCACCATCGGTTAGTAGTTAATACAACGAGGGTCATTTTGTTATTCCAGAAATTCACTCGCAACAAGAATTAACACCGCCACTATTAGTGAAACATACTAAAAGAAAAATATGAACCTCTCAAAAGAGTTTCGGATATTTTTAATTGTCTGCATACTGCAGTACTGGAATACATACTCATACAGTATCGTTTATAGCAAATAACTGAATTATTTCATTTACTTAGCAAAAAGCATGCTCAATAGAAAAAAATTCACTTTTTCTTTTCATTGGCATAAAGTGACAGTAAAATTCTTTATATGGTCACCTGCCGATCATCTCTCGACAACTACAACGGCATGACAAGAACCAAGAGGCTTAGGCATCTAAATCAATAAAGAGAAAAGTGATTGCCTAAAACTGTTGAAACCAACTTCAACTAGGTACCTGCACAAATATAATCTCTTTCCTACAGGAGCACAAACACCTCCGGGAGACGTACGAAAAAGAGACGGTACGAGGGTGTCAATAGGAAACATCCGTGTCACTTGTGTTGTATGACGACAACGTCTCTGATCCGACTGCGTTGAGCTGTGTTTTACGTGAGATGGTACAGCGAGAGAAGGTGAGACGGACGGAAAGACACGGGTTGGGGGGGGGAGAAGAGGAACGGAAAGAGAGATCTTGAGGTCTGTTGTGGAGCTCAAAGAGGCACCAAATCCAACTGAGGGGCACAAAGCGGGTCACTTGATAATGTTTCTTTAGCATTTACACTACGTCATCCCTCCGATTCTCATTCCCGACTCACTTGTAATCTTCTATGTAAAAATTAAAATAAACAAGTATTAGACCCAAACCAACCCTTTACTAGAAGCTGAAAGTGGCCCTCGGGGAGGGAAGGGTCTCGCAAGTTACGAATAACTGACTTTTCTTGCATTAGTTGAGTGTTTTAAGAAAAAAAAGTCAGCCCACTTTCTCTGATGTGTTCCTGCTTAACGCTACTCATTTAACACAGTGATAGTCTGATTCTGATGTGGCTACAAAAAGAACAAGAGGTCGAAGAATAGAAAACTACGATGCTGCTGTTTGCCGACGACGCGGTGCTGTTCACATTTAATTTAAAATCCAAACAGACAACTGTGCAGTGTCCACTGAAACACAATACGGATCTAATTATTAATTTCATTAATGGATTACTGATCTTCAGATGCGACATGCGTGCAATACGGACAGTGCACGGGCTCCAACTTTGCTCAGATGCTGCCCTTAAAATGACATTAGTGGGTCGTTTCGCAGAGTTCATCACTGGGCTCGTTGTTCTACTTTTACACAATGTTTGTGCCTCACAGGCTGAGGCTGGACAACAATAATCTTTCACGGGAAGTCACAATGAAGTTGATTCTTAAATAAAATAACTCCCCTCCTTCCCCACCGAAATTCTGCACAGGGTCAGCTACAAGTGGTGCAGCATGACAGCCGGTCAACTTTACAGTCAGTCAGTTGAGTTCCAGTCGTCTATAATATAATTTTACCAAGACTCCAGCACACAGCCACATGTCAGACAACAACACATTTATTTGTTTTCAGCAATGTTTCTTTTTTATCATCACAAAGGCATATACTATTTCTCTCTGTATATTACTTGTCATATCTATATCTCTCTCTCTATATATAGATATACATCTAAATAATTTATATAGGAACAAAAATAAGCGTACATTTTTGCTGAATAAGACTGAAGAATATCCGCAAAGGGCATTGTAAACCATGGTCCATCTAAAGCAGGTGAAAGGTACGGTAGTTTGCCCTTTCCCAACTCCCCCCACAGTAACATATTTGCATAGGCAAAAATGGGATTAGCCCTTAGACAGTGGATTCCTGAATTCTTTAAAGAGATGCAAAATCTAGTTCAGCTCAGCACAATTGAAACCAAACATACACACAAACAAATAATGTCGACCAGGCCAAGCTCTCTTTAACCGCTCTGCTCATATACATGGTCATTTTTCTGTGCACGTTTTTGTTTACAGTGTTAGGCTTCAAGTAGATCTAAAAACAACTTTTACATCGACAACTAGATGTGAAATAAATTAACCAACATGAGAGGTAGTGAAAAGCCTACAGAGACGTTTGTTGTTGTTGTTTTTATACAAAAGAAGAAAAAAAAACGTGTCCGTAAGGCCAAAGCTTCTCAATCCTCCTCCGCCCCATCAGGACCCGTCAGCTCCTCCACCTTCATTCAGTCAATAAAACCACAGCCACGTTTCAGAAACCCGCCCACTTGGAACACGTGGAGACTCTGAGCGATGACACTACTCCACTTCATCAACATCATTGCTTGTGAAATCTACATTTGTAATGCAGTTATTAAAAATCAACAACGGCGTATCCCCCCCCCCCCCCCCTGTGTAAAAGTCACAATAAATCGAGAGGAAAGGACCGACGGCTGTCCTCTCTGCGGGGTGCGGCTGTGTCTGCCCTCCCTGTAAACCCTGTAAAAGTGCTCCTGGAGGCAGCACTGGGCACACTGGGGACGGTTAGCGCCCTGTGGTTATGAGGTACACACACACACATCTCACAATTAATAAATGTAAACTTGCTTTAATTGCACCATGATTTCATAACGTTGGTGAAACATTCCGGTGTTAGTAGCCGTGCAAAGGTGGGGCCTGTCTGCAGGAGAGCCTCGTTGGGCTTCTACTGTGTCAAAGAGGTTATAAAGTTGTCCAAATACGACATCTAAATCCGTCGGATTCAGAATTGCTTGATTACGCTGTATTCTCATGCCTCTGATCAACTGAGCGCATGCATGCAAAGCTCCTCATCACAGCGGCTAAGCGTATCAGTCGAGTCCTTACGGGTATCAGTGTGGTCTGTGTGTGAGCGCTGTATTGCCGTGGGTTAAATATAATATATTTTCACAAAGGTCATTATTGGTTTAGACTTCTTCACGTTACAGTGTCAATTTTACCGATTTATAACCAATAGTTCAATCTTTAGTACTAATATAAGCCTGGTTTTGTGGCATCACGTTAGCATTTTAACACTGACTGAATATATGTTTGTAGGAAAACTCCTAGGAAAATTAAACGTAATAATTGTGTTGTTGCACTTGAAGTCATCGTGTAAAACTTGCTATTGCATTGTTATTAAAATAATTTCCTTTTTCTTAAAGGTGTTGCAGTTGGTTATTCATAAGATAAACTTCTTACAATTCAAAACTAACCTAACACGGTGGGACACAGCTTCGAAAAGACTCCGATCCATCACCACCAATAGTTTGCTAGACATCTCGCACCGTCAAGTCTTGAATTTAATCTCAACCCAAACTTGGCACGTGAACTTCAGGTAGTTAAAGGAGATGGCAACATGGATGCTTCCGTTCATCAGTGAGCAGCGGCACGGTTTCATCGACAGCTTAATACTGCCACAAAACCAGAGGCCGGCTATCCGTCATGTCCCGTTAATTAAACAAAACAGCACATACTGCATTCATGCACTTTCTACTGCACATCCACAGGCCACTTCAAATGTTCACGTCGTCAAAAAAACGACATGACATTTTTAAAAAATGTTAGTGGGACATTTGGCAAGACCCCCCCCCCCCGCCTTTTATTTTTTATTTTTTTTACATGTCTCCCCTCCCCTACCATGTACCATGGCCGTTATCACCGCATGCTGTCAAAGTCGGAATTAGAAAAACTAGAGTGTGCGATGGGGGCGGCAGTGGGACGGAGGCTTAGCGTGGCGAGCTCAGGCATGCTGACGCCTCGTTAGCCTTTGTGTGAGGGGGGCTAGCCTAGCCCTGTAGCAGGTTAGCATTATTATACCAACCCTCTTCACTAGCTCTGGTAAAATAAAATAAAAAGAGTGTCTTTGATGGGCAGTAGTTAACTGAAGGACCACCAAACACCCGCCAAACTCCATCTGCTGGAGAAACACACATGCGCCGCGAAGCCTGGTGACGGCTCCCGTCGGATCTCCCCTCGTAGCGTCATGTTTTGGCCCCGTGCCCCCCGGGACGTCCCGACTTTGGGGGGGCCGTCGTGTCGCTTACATTCCTAAAAGCTAATGCCTCACAGACACAAGCCAGGGGGCTTCTTAACCCCCCCCTCTCAATTAGATCAGTGCCTGCTGCATCCGGAACCAGCTTTCCATTAGGATCCATTCACAAACCACTAAAAAAGGTGAAACCCTCTTCTGCTACGCAATAACTTCAAAATGTAGATGACTATTTGGAGTTGGCAGGGTTTCCCCCCTCTCCTCCTCCCCCCACGTTGGGCACCTGTGCTTGTGATGGTCTGAGTTGGAGGGACGGGGGAAAAGAGACAGGGATCGTTGGACAAACTGTTGTTGCTTTCCAGAAAACCTCCAGCAGCGCTTGTGCCGCATTTTGTTACACGTAAAGGCATTGTGATTTCCTCGCTAGGAGAGATTTGTCTAAAGTTCATGGGTAGTAATAATACATGTAGCTGCCCAACCACAATTCTAGCCCTTACTTCTCCCAGTTAAAGAATCCTAAAGAAGGAAAGTGCTTGGACGGGGGGGGGACGGGTGGGTGGACAGGTGGACGGGGGGATGGACAGGGTGGATGAGGTGGTGCCGCGGCCTTCTCTGCAGGAGCCATCCGATCTCTTCAAAAGAAAAACGGCAGCAAGCTTCAAAGTGGCAGAAGTGTACTATTCCCTTCACGGGGTCCCCCTGTCCTCACACATCTCCATATCCACAAAAAAGGGGGTTGCAGTCCTCGGCTTACATCGTCATGCTACTGTTGGCAGAGAGAGAGAGAGAGAGAGAGAGTCGCATGCGGAGCCGGTGCTTCTACTGGTCGAAATGGGCCGACGCCGTCGACTCCCACCGGGACGCGTTAAAGAAGCTCAAAACCAACGTGTGCACATCTGAGGAATGGGACAGACTTATGAAATAAGGGGCGAGAATATTCATGAGAGAAGAAAGCATGAGGTCTAAATATTCCAGTCTCTCTCTCTCTCTCTGTTCCCATGGACTGAGGCGTCCTCTTCCACAGTCAACAAACAGCACAGATTGCTAGCAAAACAATCACTGGCCAGCATTAATGGTCTTAAATGGACCAAAAAAAACCCGACCAGCAAAGGCCGACCTGGCTCCAGTCGAGAACTGGATATAAATTGCTTAAAAAATATAAATTAAAAAAACAAAAACAACCAGCCGTCTTGGATGTCATTCAGTTTTTTCAATCAAAAAAGAGGGAGAGATTTTTTTTTCAAACCCGACTTCTGGCACCATAGTAGTATTTTTGAAGTTTAAGTAGTAGTCCCGTTGGCGTACGATGGCGATGAGCGGGGGGAGTCTAGGGGTCGAGGCAGGCGCGCCTCCTGTTGGCCAGGAGGTCTCTGTAAACGGAGGAGTTGAGGAAACGTGGGAAGGAGTCGCGGTGCATCAGGGTGTAGATCTGGAACTGGGCCTCCTCGTACATCAGGTTGCTGGGCTCCGCCAGGTTCTGGTTGATTCCTTCTCGGACCCGCGAGTCCAGGCTCACCTGGGAAGGAGGGAAACAAATTCTGGCTTCGTCAAAGCGTCGCACAGGCTCAACGCGGAAAGATGTTCCAAACACCTGGAAAACAGCTAGTTAGCAAAGTGCTAAATTAGCACCCTGACATGCTGGGGACTCAACGCTCGGCCTGTGGTGTTGCTGTCTGCAGCCTCGTCCCCCCCACCGGGGACAAGCTGCGGCCTGCAAACAGCTACAAATGTCTTTGGATGTTTACATATGAGAGGTTATGTAATTCCGTTTAAGGTTAAGGCCATGACATATTTTGACCTAATGTTTTTATTCTTTATTCTAGGCGCAAATTCAGCTGTAGAGCAAAATATATGATGCATTATACTTCATCAAACTATCCGGCACCATATTAAAACAGACGCCGACTGGATTTATTCACATTGCACTGCTGTAGCCTCTTTCACTCCTCACTTAACATTTTTAATTCAGAACTTACTTAACGTTAATAGTTTTACTGAAAAACTATTCCCTCTGCCACTGGCAATACTGCAAAGTTAGAAAACTTTGCTAACATGCAAAGTCATTAGGATTCTTCATCAAATATTTGATAACAAACACATATTACAGGGGAGTCACGTCGCTAGCACACACGCAGCCGTACCTCTTTGGGTGACAATATGGACACGTAGTCTTCGTATATGATCCTGGACTTCTCCTCCACCACCGCGGGATCCGTCTCCTTTTTCAGCTCCTCGCAGGCCAACCAGAAGAGCAGGTTGTCCTCGCTGTACTCCGAGCGCAGGAACTCCCGGAAGACCTCCCGGCCCTCCAGCGAGCGCAGCATCATCTCGAAGCTCCGAGCCCACGACAGCACCTCGTCGAGACTGGGTTGTCTGCACAAAGTGAAGGTTGTGTGACACACACACACACACACAGTCAGAATAACACAAACATGCAAGGAGGGACGAGGGCTGGACTTACTGTTCTTCCACAGCTTCAATGCTGTCCATCTTGCAGGTCTGTCGTTCACTCCTCTCTATCCTGTCTTCGTTCCTGGAAAGGAGACGAGGAATCACTGATCTCGCCAACACTAAAGTCCAGACTTTCTTCTGACAATTTGTATGAGATGAACTCGTCGATGGAGAGTTCCAGAGGCAATTAAGTCTCAGGGCTGAGATATTTGTCTCACTGAAAGTTTGATATCTGTGAATTTGTTTAGTGAAATACTAAATGGATGGACCCCCATATCTGAGCGTTATTTATTAAGAGGTATTAGTAGGGTCTTTAATCCAAAGACCCATTTGCACAAATCTCTCTGTTGTACAGCTGAAACAATTCGTTAATGAATCAATTATTGTACCAATAGAAAATGATTGGGAAAACATGGGATCATTGTCATTTTCAAGCACGTTTACACCGATCCAGCCACAGCTTCTCACTGCGAAGGGTCGACTGTATTTGTGTGACAGTAATCCTCAACAACGGATCAAGAAAACAACGTGCAGATGCGTCAGAGTTCATCTCCTCCGGCCATCGATGAAACTCGGAAGCATCGGTGCGAGCTTGAAACAACTCGAGGGTCCACACAGTGAGGAGCTTTATGTAAACACTGGAAACGCACGCGGTAGCCGCTCTGTCGGTCGCAGCTCGGCCTCACATGCCGCGTCGACAATGCAGCGCGCTCTGAGCCGTCTATTTTTGTCACACACCGTGGAGGCTCTTTGCTTCCTCTGGCCGTCTCTTGTCAAAGTCCCCCATTGTGCGGGAGTAATAGGCTAAGCTAGCCGGGGCCCGCGGGCTCCCTTCGCAATACGGCTAAATATACCGGCTGTTCCTCGCAGCTGTTTTGCATGTGATGTGTGGACGGAAAGAGAAGGCACCCCGACTAGATAAGGGCCTTGTGTGAGGGCGGATATGAGGGGGGTGGGGGGGTTAGAAAGTAGAGAGAGAAAGTAGAGAGTTATGTATCAGAATAGTAAAAAAATGAAAGAAAAAGGTCCTCAAAAAAAAAAGAATCCTCAATGGATTAGCGACGCGTTCTGTAATCCCGTCCTCTGGCGGACGCAGAGCCGGTTGAAATGTCAGCTCGGCGGGAACAAGTTGGAGGCCCTGCTGACGATTCGGAAACACTGGTGTGATATTGATGCTTTTAATATACTGGAAGCACAACCTTTTTCCGTGACAGTGTCGGATGTAAAATAAAAACGAGTGAGGACAAAGAATAAATGAAAAACCCACGACCGTAACGACACCAGCGAGGAGCTTTCTACCTTTCAGCCGTGCACTCCACATCAAGGCTGGAGACGTAAGTGAGTGGTACTACACAATGTTTTATACGATTTAGCCGAAATAAAACTTTCAGGTTCCAGGTAGTTGCCACTTTATTTAGGTTTTTAGTCGAAAAAATCCGACAGCAGTGTTTGAATGGGAGTCACTGCGGAGGCCCGGTCCACAAGCTGCCACCACTTCATCTGAAGGGGTGTGAGAGAAGCAGCACATTCACCATTCAGCGCCTGAAAACAATGTTTCATTCACTGCTCTCAGAGTGGAGCCACAGAGAGGCAGCGACAGGAGCTCCACAGCGAGTTACGGGGGCTTGGTGCCTTGCTCAGGGGCAGGAAAATGCATTGAGCATTTGCACAAATGAGACATTTTGCGTTGTGTGTATTTTTTTCTCTGTAATTTGAAAATGTAGGGCAGGACAATTTTTTTCTGGATTAATCAGACGGTTCGCTGTAATTGAAAGCACCAACATTGTCCACAACCAAGATGAGACCGGAAAACATACAAAAACAACATTCTAGATGTGGAGTCAGGTGATAATTTGATGTTATTTATTGGAATTCATCATAAATGACATGATCCATCCCAGCTTGTATTGTGTTTTGTTAAAAAATAACCCGTAAAATAAGGTAAATAAGGGTAATTCAGACATTGCTTTGGCCGGGTGGTAACATTTTTTCTTCCGCCCTTGCTTCCAAGCATCTGCTCTATTTTTAAACGCAGCATCAGATTAACTGGTTATTGCATCACATGCATCTCTGTCTTAAAAAGTTTTTTTTTTTTTTGAGTTTCCGGCTGCAAAAGACTTTTTGAAAGTCACCAGACGACATCATACCCCCCATGTTGTAGCCTGAAAGCCCTAATTTTTGTAAAGCTCCAAATGATCTATAAAAAATATGGATTATGTCGGTATTTCAGAACCAAAATACCAAATAATGAAGCACTAGACGGAGCTGAGTGTTATCAGACAAGTGTCCCAGTGTTGTGTAGTACTTTCTCACCAGAGACACTTGCAGCAGCCGCACCAGCAGAGGCAGCAGGTGTTGGGTCGGGGCTGTCCGGGGGCCTGGGGGGGGGCCTCGATGTGCGCCGCCTGCCTTTTTCTCATCTCCACTCCGCTCACACTCCGGGGCTACGTGACGGGAAACACACAGAAAACCCAATTCTCTTAAATGCCCATCGCATTAACAATAACAGTCATGCTACAGAGAGCGTGCATGTTTGACTTTTGGCTCGCTGGCAATGCGCCATAAGAGAGAGAGAGAGAGAGAGGATTCACTTCCTTGTACGGTTCGAGCGTTTCTGGCACCATCCGCGTCTTTCTCTCGGCTTTGACGGATACTGCACATTCAGGGGGAACGGGGTCGACAAATTACGCACACACACACACACACATACACACTCACAAGTGATCGCGAGTACGCACACAAATGAACTGACTGGCCGTCGATTTAGAATGCACGACACCCTTTGCTGAGGCAGGAGACGAGGATCGAAGCAGGGACAACCAAAGCGTACAGGGGACGTAGCGTGAAACTCCTTTTCAACGCTCATGCACACACGTTTGGGTATCTGGGCGTCCAGCGACCCACGGAAAACCGCCCAGCGGGACGAGCCATTCACGAGCCCGAGTGTCCCCATTGCGTGAGAACGACCTTTGCAGAAGGAGCACCACATTTCTTTCACAGGCCATCTCAGAGCAGACCTTCCGGAGAAGAGTTTATAAAGAAAGGTATTCGAAAAGGTACACGAAGACAAAAGAAGAGACTAAATGAAGCAAGTTCTCGGATAAAACAAGTGTGAACCTCTTTAGTGTAGATGGTGGTTACACTTCAGTCAGTCAGCTTCTTTGTGTTGTGAGTTAGCTCGGATCGCACATAATGAAGATACCAATGAACTGACGGAGGCAGCAGTGGACCAGCATCTCCTGTTTAAAAAATAGATTAAAAAGTGATGTGATTTGTTTCTCTGACACTTAAATGTGCGCGAGAGAAAAGTCCACAGACGTTTTTGTCCGCACACACGATAGTTGTGGTTTGTTCGAGCAGAAGATTACACTCGGCTGGCTTTTAAGGACCTAAATAAGCCCGTAAAAACCCCTTTACCCCTTTTTAACTATAACAGGAAAAATCTACACCAGGAAACACTATGAATATCAGCCAGGAAGCAGATGTCAGAATAAATCTATCTCCCATGGAAAAGATGATAATGATCTCCGCCATTTGAGGCACTTAAGCTTAATTTGACCGGGCGGTGAAATGTAAAAAAAAAAGCACATTAACGAACTGCAGTCCAGCACATCTTACCTGCAAAGCCATGGCTCAAATCAAATACTTAATTATCCAAATATCGGTTAACTTTTGATTATCAGGCGGGGGAGCCACCTCTCACGTCCTGTCTACGCGCGCCCACGCCGTCGACCACGGCGGCGGTGCAGCACGCAGCGGTTTAGGCCGGGGCGACCTGCCCAGTATGCAAATGTCGCCGGCTGACCGGCGGTCAGAGCGGCCGTCAGCTGTTCAGCGACCAGACGGCAGCCGTGGAAAAACAGTGCCGTTGGATGCAAACGACAGCGAGGTGACATGCAAATATAGAGTGGAATTACAAATACATCCTGGATGTGATGACACACGCACACACACACACACACACACAAAAACAACAAACTAGCAACAAGATCTGTTTAAAAAGTAGGCCGATTTTATTCATTAACACAAAACGTCCTCCTATCAATCCGTCTAATCCCGACAACACTGTGTGCTGGACACAAGTTTGTTCATTCATACCCTCACTGAGCAGCACTCACTGGCCAATGAGGAACACAAACACTACGACGGCTTTACAAAAAGGGGTACGATCAGCAATACGTCGTTCTATGCACATCTAGCAACGACTGCTCACAGCGGGACGTGTCATCCTCCGAGTCCACGTGTCCATCCCATGGTCTCCCTCAGCGGATGCAGTTTGCCAACAATCAGCTGTCGTGGAGTTGACGACGAGGGAACATTTAATCCACTGAGATGTGGTTGAAAGACGTAGGAAAAGCTACTTTTTGAAAATGTTCAACTGGTGTTAAAGGGACACGACGTAAAAGGTTGACTACAGTAAGCTGCTGTGCTGCTGCCTTTCGTTTTCTCCTTTGATCTGATAATTGGGCGGCACAGGGAGCACAGAGAGCCAAAGAGAAAACCTTGAACCTCCAAAACCGCCGATCGCTAACCGGTCGTACCAGAATGAACAAGCTCGCTTTTTTTTTACTGTGGAGACATTTTGCGCCTCGTGGATGACACTTAAACCAGCTCATGTTTCTTTTGTCTTCATCCGCTTGATTTTAAACACAAATCACGACGTCCCTCTCCGCTGTCTCTCATTCCGAAGCTCCACGGTCTCATCGATCAGCTTAATGACAACATGTCCGATTTAAACTCACAATGAATTAGTGATTCCCTACAAACAGGTCAGACCGAGCGGTCATGGCGAGCGGTTACGGAGTGACCGGCTGGTCTGGGCTTCTGATCGGCTCGCTGGAAAGAAGAGGGGTTACTGGTCTCACCATCCCTGATGGAGCGGCACAAAATGGGACACGAGAGCGGCTCTGAGGCGCGAGCGCTTCCTCTCCTCGCCTCCCCTGCTCCTCTCGCGTTTCACTCGCCGTCCCCTCCTAGGCTGCCTGGGATGTCGGTGAAAGGCTCATTTGTGGATTCGAGACTACAGGGAGCGTTGAAGATGCAGCATCTGAGAAGAAAAAACGAGGGCAAAACAGTCACAACGGGATTATTTTATCCCGGCTATGTAAATAAAAATGCAGTACTTTAAAGTTGAAGAACAAACTTGGCAGTGCGCTCTGCTGGACAAATGACGTCAGTCAGTTTTTAAGGCGCTAAAACAATTAGTTTGACTGTTTAACCAAAAAATAAAACATTCTTTGTTTTAAGTATCAGGAAATAAACCAAATGCAGTATCATCATCATCATCATCATCATCACGAGCAGCTCTGACAGCTCTGAAGGATTAAGCTCATCGGTGGTGTCACGACCCCACCAGTCAATCACAGTCAGAGGCCGTTAGCCAGATTTGGTCGCTGACGCAAACTGACTGAGAGCCCGAAGGCGACGGCGCTTCCCGGGTCGCCGTCACGCCGCATGTTCTCACGCAGGAATTACTGTTCAGAACGACTTGCTTGCCTCACAACGGCAGAAGTGTTTGCATGTGGAACATCAACGCTGGAAAATCATATTAAACTGTTTTATTGAAGGTTCATTGACTGCTATGTTTCTGTTTTACCCCACTTACATTTCACATATTTTTGTCTTCAGTTGCGTGGACACGACGTATTGTCCCTTTGATGTCGAGAAGCAGAAATTGTAGTTGTGCATTGTGCCAGGAGAAGATGGACACCAGTCACTTTAGCAGCACGCTGAGTGAAATAAGTCAATCAAGACATTGACAGAAAAATAATCCGGAGACTGAAGTAATTAGATAGTAAGTAATTAAACTGGACCATTTCTCAGAAAAAAAGTATTTGAAGATGTCACCTTGGATCTTTCACTCTTGCCCATAACCCTAAACAGGCAACAACTGGCTAATTGATGGATAATAAAATGAATTGTTTATTGCAGTCCAGCATATAAAACCATCATCAATAACCACGATCAGTCTGAATGTTTTCACATGATGTCACACAACATCATAGGAACACACACACACACACACACACACACACACACACACACACACACACACACACACAGCAGCCATGTTGACTCTGACTCACACATCTTCGCCCGACGCGCACGTGAGGAAGTCTCGCAGGATGTCGTGGGCAACAACAACAACAACAACACAACCTGGCCTCTCGCGACCAACGTCAAGCAACACAACTCGTGCGTGGCCTCCTGCCTGACTGACCGGGAGAAGGAGGCGGAGAGCGTCCGCTGGGCCCGCGCGTTTCACCGGGTAAACAGAGTCCGCTCATCGGACCCTCAGTGCAACGCAGGGACCCCCGACCCCCCCCCCCCCCCTCCTGTGCAGGGTGCGGGGGGGGGTGAAGGGAGAGGAGACCCCCCTCCCAGCTGACAACCAGGGGGTGGTAACCGGATTAAAAAGAAAAGGGGAGAGAGGGAGAAAAGGGCGGGGGGCTGCACGCAGAGGACCGTCGCAGCGAATTTTCTGTTTTTTTCTTTTCTTTTTCTTCTTCTTTCTAGAACTCAAACACCAGCCACTTTCTCTTCGCTAGCGTTAGCCAACAGCCAGAGGTACGCTATCTCTCGGCAGCTGGAAGGAGGAGGCGGTGGTGGTGGTGGTGGTGGTGGAGGTGGAGGAGGAGGAGGAGGAGGTGGCAGCTGAGAAGCAGCAGCAGTGACGGCAGCTAGCCCCGTGCTAACGTCAGCTAGCCCCCGCTCCGCGCGGAGCATTAGCGCGCGACAACCAGCATCTTACCGCTTCGCGTCGGGCCGTCGGTGTCCCCGGGGTGGCGGGTGCGATAAACGCGACGTCCCGGTGCTTATTTAGCGACATGGTAAGCGGGAATCCTGCGGTGAAAGGTCCATCGCCGGCTGTTTTTCTGCCATCCGCCCCACTTCAGCACCGAACGCCGCCGAGCCCCTGGATGCACTGCGCAGGCGCGCTGCTGCCGCCGCCGCCGCTCTGTGAGAAGATGCACTGCCGAGGCTCCACGTGAAGGTTCTGCAATGTGCAGAGGGTCACGTTGCACGACCAGCGTGCGCGACAATGCCCGAAAACGCAACAGTATTCGTTCAATCGCGATGATGATGCATTGGTTGAAGTCAAACGTTTTGCATGAAGAACAAAACATCTGTCCATTCAAGTCATTAAATAAAACCGGTCTGAAGAGGATAGCCACAGTGTGAAGTTTAGAAGGTCGCTATTCATATATGAGCACATGCATCCTCAGGTTATAATCCAGTGAATAATATATACTGCATATTTAAACTCACGCATTACATCAAAGCGCTTCAGTAATTGAAGAGTGGTTTTATGGGTAACTGGTTTTCTAACATATTCGTATTATAATGGGTCTACTGTGCATTTTATATATGTCGTTATTCTGTGATGTTATCTGTGAGTTAGTGGACATTTATGTGAATGTGTCCGTAAGGAATGATCAAGAACTTCTTGGTTATTTTCTTCCTTATCTTAATCTTTTTCTCCTCCCTAAGGGATGAAAATACAATTTTAAAAGTCATGGGTGATTTAAAATGAGATGTCAGGTGAAACAGCAGCACATGGCTTTGGATCAGACAAGAGTAGGTTGAGACTGTGTTTCAGGCCGTAGAAGTGGTTAAAAGGCTAAATCTATTTTCTACATAAAGAAATAAACATCTCTGTAATTTCTTTTTAATGGGCAATCATTTTGGCTGCAGACAGCAAGCGAGATGGTTACGCTACATTTGACACCAATAATATTTCCTGGCATGCGAAAGGTTAATTATTTAATTGGTGTATTTATCTACTGTATTCATTTCCTTATACATCCCATTTACATTTGATCTCAAATCATTAGACACAATGTGAGCTACATCATTGTTTATAACATTAAATTATTTATAATTTTTCAAGAATAATGACTATTTTGGAGACTATTTGCTCCTTTTATTGTTTATTTGTATAGTTCCACTCCGTCAATGTGCTTCTGCAGCGTGAGAGTAACCACTGATCGTTCGGACTATTTTCCTACGGTTAACACAGGGGGGCACCAAAACTCTGCTCTCTCTCTCTCCCCCCCTCACACACAAATTACACACGCACACACACACACACGCGCACACCTGCCATACAGCACTAGGAAAGCCTAATTGCAGTAAATCTGCATGTTAACTTTGCATGAATTATTTGAAAAGTATTACACACTGACAGCGAGCGGCTTTCGGCTGACAGAAATCACACCGCGTTTTGCGATGCACGTCTCATGGATTGGTGCTTTTCACATCAAAAATCTACATAAGTATTGTTAAAGCACCTCTTCTTAGCTGATGTAAGCATACAACCAGTACTGTAATTTGGGTATTTCATATATTTATCGGTCATCATCTTTGTGCATCTGCCACTCGTAATATTTCAATGTGAGGATCGATGAGCGTGATGGAAAGGTCATGAGAGGGAAGTCGAGAAGATGCATTTTGTGTGTTCCCTCAAAGGGCTCGGATCACATGCGGTTTTTCTCCACATGAGCTGATAACTGCTCATGCTGATTATGTGATAATGTCAAGAGCGACACACTCTGAAAAAATTTCACCGTAAATTAACGGTATTTTACTGGCAGCAAGGACGCCAGGAATTTACTGTTGTTTTATGGTATAATACCGTAAATGGTTTTTATACTATGTTACCGTAAAATGGATTACTGTATGCTACCGTAAACTTGAACAAATTTTACTGTGAATTAACTGCAATTTACTGTCAGTCGACGCTAGTAACTTACCGTTTTATTTACAGTGCCCTACCGTAATTTACGGTATGTTACGGTATGTTGTATATTGGATTACAGTTTCTTACCATACGATTACTGTTTTTGCATTATAAATACCAGAATGTTACCGTTTACTTATAACGTATACATTTAATTCCCCACAAATTAAAGAAAGACATCCAAACTCATTTCGGTCATAGTGGTTGGAGTTTATTAGATGCCTTTAAGACAAAAATGTTCGGCATTTGTAACCAAGATCAAAACATAATATCCCGCATGTATATAATAATAAAAAAATTAATCATAAAATCATTAGGAACAAGGTAAACTAACTGCAACAATACGCTATGGAACACTTTCAATTGACCGCAGCAAACGGCTGGCGTCCTTAATCCAGTGCCTCTATAAAAAAAAGATATATATATATATATATATATATATATATATATATATATATATATATATATAGAAACACTGTCATTGGTAAAATATTAAAATTACAAAGTTGAGGAAGACAACAAGATGTAAGGAAGGAGAATGTTAATCACGCTAGGCAAATAACACTTACCAACGTTACTTGGAGAGACGAGGCAATGAGAAACTCCTCCGATGTTGAACTGCACAGGTGTTCTGGATGAACTGAGATTACGCGTCTGACGTCACGTCAGGAGCAGTCGGTCACGATTGACACTCAAATGACTTTTAGGCAATGAACACTTTGAATAATACAAATATTTATAATCTTTACATTCCGGCCACTGAAACGACAGCGATGGCGGCGCATGGGATAGGGAGGGTGTGCCGTGCAGCACAAGGTTGGCGGTTCGAGTCCTGGCTGCGCCCTGTGCCAAGTTAAAGTGTTCCTGAGCAAGACACCTAACCCCCAACTACTCCACATAAAATGATGTCAAAACATGGGCGTTTTGGATAAAAGTGACAGCTGCATGTATAGTAATGTCCTGTTCATCAAAGTCCTCATCGATACTATCTCATTATGATGACTTACAGCAGTGGTCCCCAACCTTTTTTAACTCACGGACCGTTTTCATATCAGACAATATTTCGCGGAGGGGGGGGTAGTAGTCGCGCGCTCTGTGTTCGCTGCTCGGCGAAACTGCACGGTAAAAGGACAAGAAAAACGCCTGGTGACGCGTGGGGAATCTGTCCGAGGGTCGAGCGCACATAATTAGGATAAAATCCGGTCAATTTTCTAAATAAAACATTTTTCATTTTTCTGTAAAAAACTATATATAACTTTCTGTGGTGCGGCCCGGTACCAAACAGCGGCCCAGTGGTTGGGGACCTGTTTTTCAGTGGTTGACATGGGCTTCCATACATTAACCTACAAAGATGTAGATGGATTGTGATTCACTGCACTTGTATGTGTAGTTCCACCGCTTCATAAAATATATGCAGTTGAATTACGGTAGTCTGCTATTATTGTAAATTGACAGATTTAACTGTTTATTCATTACATTGGCTGTTAATTTACAAGCAAGGGATGGAAATTTAACTGTATGTTACAGTTATTATGACATACTGTAAGATACCGTTAGAAATGCACCGTAAATTTACAGCAATTTGTTACAGTGCAGAAGCAACGCTCTGCTTCATCGCGGCGCTGAAACACGCAACAGTAAGTCATGTGGAAACATCTAATGAAAAGCTGCACGGATGGAAAGGATTAACATTCAAGAACACATCCGAGCCTGCGAACATCCTTGTGTTTGTAAAGAAACTACCTGTTTAGATGTTCATCTGCGTCTTTGCTTGAGACAGAGAGGGAAACGCACCCCATCCAACGGTTGTTGAGATGTCCTCAGTGTGGACAGAATGGCATCGAGTCACACCGCTGCGTGTCCTTTCAACCGCAGCTACATTCACAGGCCGTAAGACCTTCGCTGTAGGACTGAGAGTGTGATTTATCGACTCGGCCTCACAGGGCTTTTTCTGGCGTCCATTTGTTCGACTGCTGTTTGTCTGGATGTTTGAGTTGAGGGAGAGACAAAGAAGGATGGAGGCAGGCGGACCGACTGACATGCTGTTGGACTTCTGGTTGTCTGAAAGCCTTACAGAGAACTCATGAGGTCTGATTTACTAAAGCGTCGTGGCACTAATCCACAATGGTTGACCTTTACCGTTAAATACCACTAAAAGCCCAATAAACACACAGCGAGTGTGTGAAAAAATAATAGTGTGGGCAATAATGGTTTAAAAAGACTCTTTACGCTGTTACAAAACAAAAGTTGACTTGTAGCAGCACTGGGGAGACAACTTTAACAACCGCAACCTCTGCCCCCTGCTGGGGAGTGCAACATTGTGCCCATAAAAGTGTATTTTATCAGTAAAAAAAAGGTATTTCTTACATGTGCACTGAGTTTGCACTCTGGGAAAATAAACATTTTCACCTGGTTGAGTAAAGTACCAAAACAACATCGAAGGGGAGTCAAGTAATAGGTTACACAGAGTCTCTTGTGTCCACTTGAATATACATTTAAATGGCCTATCAACAGGTCTCTGTGTGGAAACAGTGGATAACAGCTGGTGCTGCTGGTCTGAACAGCAGCACCAGCTGTGCCTGCGGGAGCAGTGCAGCTGTGCACGCCCTCGCACATCAGCATGTCACCAACATGCACTAAAAAAAGCACCCGTGACCTGCCCGGCTATATGCAAACAAGGCGAGCAGAAGTTCGGATAACAACTCACACGGAGGGAAAGTGACGTAGTTCTGTGCCCATGTGGACATTACTCCCCTGCACACGGGCCATAGTAACAGGTGATTTATTAATTCTCAGAGCGGTAAACTCAGCTCTCGACCTTACAGCTGCAGCATATGTGAGCAAATATCTTCTATTCTAAGTTTACACAAAGAAATATCCCGCCTCATGAAAAAGAAATGAGAAGGCTGTTAAAGATGCTCGCTAAATCTGTCACATTTGAAGGCCTCCTCTTCGGTAAAGCACTCAGCCGCGTTTTGTCAGTAACAGATATGAAGCCTTCCCATGAACGCGAAGAGTTTATACCTTTTTCATGAAAAGGACGGCTCACACGTCTCCTTCTGTCAATCACACAGCCATTCAAACTGCAGGTTTTCTTGTGTGTAGACTTGTTTTCCCCCTCATCCATTCCCCCTCACCGAGACACTCTGCATGTCAATCTCTACTCGCGGTTGCTAAACACCGTCTTCAGCGATCTTCTCTACTTTGA